CCAGTTTTTTCTTGAGCTCAAACTTTTGAAAAACTTCACATCTGGGGACAGTTTGAAGGGAAGCTACATATCTATCGCTGTATCGATTTTCTTCAACAGAGAACATCTGTGAAGAAATGAGGCAAATTCTGAATCTTCATTCGCAGATTCATTAGTGATGACTAAGTGACTTTTCGTTTGAAAATCTGGAGTATTTTTTCACTTTTTATCTGCACCTCAGACAGGGGATTTGTTTTCTTTTACTTGGGAATTTGCCTTCATCCATCACATACAGTATGTGTGGATGAACGCGAGTGAAACTAACCGCAATAGTCGATTGCTGACGCCAAACTGGCTTCAGTTTAGTTTGATAGAAACAAGCACTGCCACCATGCAAATAAGAGCCTTTAAAGGTTTTGTCCAGTTTTTTCTTGAGCTCTAACTTTTGAAAAACTTCACATCTGGGGACAGTTTGAAGGGAAGCTACATATCTATCACTGTATCGATTTTCTTCAACAGAGAACACCTGTGAAGAAATGGGGCCAATTCTGAATATTCATTCGCAGATTCATTAGTGATGTCTAATTCACTTTTCGTTTGAAAATCTGGAGTATTTTTTCACTTTTTATCTGCACCTGCGACAGGGGATTTGTTTTCTTTCACTTGGGAATTTGCCTTTGCCCATCCAACACATACAGTATGTGTGGATGAACGCAAGTGAAACTAACGGCAATAGTCGATTGCTGACGCCAAACTGGCTTCAGTTTAGTTTGATAGAAACAAGCACTACCACCATGCAAATAAGAGCCTTTAAAGGTTTTGTCCAGTTTTTTCTTGAGCTCAAACTTTTGAAAAACTTCACATCTGCGGACAGTTTGAAGGGAAGCTACATATCTATCGCTGTATCGATTTTCTTCAACAGAGAACATCTGTGAAGAAATGAGGCCAATTCTGAATCTTCATTCGCAGATTCATTAGTGATGGCTAATTCATTTTTCGTTTGAAAATCTGGAGTATTTTTTCACTTTTTATCTGCACCTGAGACACGGGATTTGTTTTCTTTGACTTACTCTTTGAGATAAAAAGTGAAGAAATAACATAATAACAAAAACAAAACAAAAAATAATAACAAAAACATAATAAATCTGCGAATGAAGATGTTGCAACGCAAAAATCTGCTGATGGAAAACCACGGAACCAATTAAAAATGGAGGCAGAAATGCTTGAAGATGTCCCGGTCCCTCCAAATTCATAGTTTTACGATTCGTTAGGATATAAAAATCATAAGTTTTCCTGAATCGCCATGTGAGCAGCGCTGAACCAATATTGCCAAGGGACGGAACAGAAGAAGGAGCAATGAATGAAAGAACGACAAAAATTGAAAGTCGTCAAGTCCTCCACCTCCTTTTTCATGGAAAGAGACGAGGAGGACAATGCTTGAATCCAGCATTATCCCTACAGAAAAACCAGTAAAGAAAATTGCGGATTTGCATGTGGAAGAAACAAAATCAAGACCCCCGGACGGGCAGAGCCGATGGATTTCGAACCATTTTTTGTGCGTCGTGGATTTCACTTTTGCAGCAAAAGCGGGATCCATCGACCTTCGTCCTTGGCTCGGCACAGTCCGCAGTGGTGGCGGTATTATCGACTGGGGGGCGGCCGCTCTCCCATCCCCCACACGATCCGTCTAGACAACCCCGCGCACAAAGGTGCCGCTAGACGGACCGGGGGAGAGTATTGCACTCTATATGTATGTATGCGTATTTCGGATTGAAGCTGGAATCGACGCTCTGGATTAATGGAGCCACTCGCGAGTGGACGCTTTGATGAACCCGTTTTGTTATTGCATGTCTGCCGGCTTATTTTCAAATCAATTCGGATGTACCGGTCATGGTTTGATGGTGTTTTCCTGTTGGTTTCAGATCTCAGCTACGCCTCCGCCAGCTTCAAACGTCCTGCCAGTATCACGAAAGACATGCGGCCGCCGGCCGTGCGGTCCCCCAGGTAACCGTGCCGAGATCCGCCCATGACCGCCGTGCACCGCGTTGTTGCCGCTTCCAGGCCCATGGACGTGAAACACGACTTGGTTTACCGTCCCGACGGTACGGCGCAGGTTGTGAGCGAGGAGAACGTTCTCCTCATCAAAACCGAACCGTTGGTTGCTGGTTCTGCCAACTCTGTTGTCATCCAACCCGTAAGTGCAGCACCTTTCGACCCCTTCTAGTCCCAACTCATGCTGGTCTCGTGCGTTTCTGTTGCAGAACGGTCTGGTGTCGGTGGCAGCTTCAACCGGCTCAGTACTGACTCAGCAACAGGCCAACGGTTTGAACAACGGCCCATTCAGTGGCTTGGGCGCCAATTCCGGATCGCCAGCATCTTCAAAGGCGCGACGTCCAGTGGCGCCCGACAACGACTGGTTGAGTTCCCCAAGTCCCAGTGGCGGCGCCCCCTCACTCACTCCCTCACCCGGCCCTCCTTCCCACGCGTTCACCGTCATCAGCAACGGATACTCCTCACCTCTGTCCAGTGGAAGCTACGATCCGTATAGTCCGAATGGAAAAATAGGTAAGTGCGACTATTTTTGTTCGGATGTGCAGGCATCCGATCAGCAGCCAGTATGGTACTTGACGACTTTTCATATTCTTGTTCTTTGAGTGCCGTCTTACTTTATCTGCTGCTACTCTGGAAAGTTCTCCTTCTAAGCACCTCCCACCGCTGTCCTCTCAATGCACCCATGCAGCCTCATATATCGGGTATATATTTATACAATATTGGCAGAGCATTTTTATATTGGGTCAATATTGTCAACTATTAGCCATATATAAATATATAAATAATCTTTATTTCCTACAGAAAAACGCTATCGACCCAATCGGTCTTTCTGCCCTTGTTTAGTACATATGTGTCTTAGCCTAGCTTATTCTAAAATTAATTCCTATTCCTAACACTAGTATAAATTAGTCAGTTATACAAAAAAAATAAAAATTCTTGGCTTACAAAACAAAAAGATCTTAGTCCTTAGTTCAGTTGCGTTTGTAGGTGTTCTAGTAAAGTATCTGTTGGGGAACGAAAACGGGAGTGTTTTGTCGGTCTTGTGAGGCAAAGGGGATTCAGTATGGTCCAGTTGTGGGGGTTGTTTGTCCATTTTGTCTGTAAGTTTATTAGTCTTTCCGAAATTTTTGTCATGTTTGTGCGTTCGTATAGTAGTTGGTTGGAAGGGTTGTGCAGGGGGTTTTGGGGGTGTCTTATTCGTGTTATTAGTCTTAGTGCAATTTGTTC